TATGAATGCGACCTCCTCCCCTTCATGTAAAGCACCTGGTTGACTTTAGCATCCCTGAGCAACCTTGGTGCCTCTAGTGATCAAGAGCAGCTCAATAAAATGATGGGCCAAGTCCAAGGGGTAGCTTCTCTCAGGACCATTGTGTGCTTCCCTTTCTTCCTGCAAAGGCCTGGAAACTATCCAAATAGAATCTAAGACAGCAGCCCTGGGTTTAGCCCTTCCATGTTCCCCCAAACCATTTTGGTAGACACAGACACTGCCCTTGTTGGGAACAGATGCTGCCCTGGGGTCCTTCTTCTGTTGTACTCATCTTGCCAATCCTTGCTCCCAGGCTTATGTTTCTCCATTTAAGGTGCCTAGAGGTCCTTGTGAATGAACTGGTACAGACAATGACTTTCCTATCAAATCCTTATGTGAACCCCCTTTAAATCTCAACAAAAGACTGCCTCAGATATAACTTTTGTGAGCACACTCCTAGACATATACCCCTCATACCTGAGGCTGTCCTTTGTCTCCAAATGGGATAGGTCTGTCAGCTCCTTCCTATAGAGCAGGTGTTCTTAAACTAGGGTCCCTAAACTTTGAACAAATGTATTTTATGCCTACTGCAATATTATTGGCTGCCTTTGGAAGGCATTTTATGCATTTTATAAACATTCTGGGAAGGGATCCAGTTGTTGTTGCTACTGAGTCATTTTTAGTAATGTCCAACTTCCTGTGACCGCTTCTGGGGGTTTTCTTGGCAAACATACTGGAGTAATTTGCCGTTTGCTTCTCCAGCTCATTTTACAGATAAGAAAACTATGATAAATAGGGTTATGTGAGTTGCCCAGAATCATATGGCTAGTTTCTGAGGCCAAATTTGCACTCAGCTCTTCCTGATTTTGGGACCAGCACTCTGTCCACTTGACCCTCTTGAAGGGTTTCAGAAACTTCACCAAATGCCAAAGCAGTCCAAGACACAAAAATAATTCAGATCCCCTACTCTAGAGCAAACTTCCTGTCCATTTTCAAGTTTTAGAAATGATTAGGGCCAGAAACTATGCCATGAGTAGTTTGGGCTATCTAGAAATTTCTCATGTCTCTCCATGTGGATGTGTTGTTCAATAAAGCCTATTCTAGCTAACTCATCATGAGTGCTCCAGTGTATGAGATCATAGGAGTCCTCTGAACTCAAGACCAAGGCAGCGGAGCTTTTGTGGCCTTTCAGGGTATAGGGACTAAAAGAACTTTAGTCATCCTTTTCAAGGTGGATGTGAACTTGCTGCTGTACTCCAGCAGATAGCAGCAGAGAGAAGCAAATGACACAAAGAGATTGAATAGATGAAGACCAGCAGTTGCTAACCAAACTGTTGCAGATGGATTGTAGAGATAACCAACACACCAGTGCCAAGCAAAGATGCAATGCTTGAGCAATGCCAAGTAAAAGATGATCTAATGCCCAGTAGAGATACTATACCCAGTGTAGGAAGAACACAAAGATATCTCGAAAGGACATCAGCTACTCCATAGTATTGGAGGTGAGAATTACTATGGTCACTCACAGGCTCTGGCCATCTGTATACTCTGTGTATATCTTCTTTGTATATGCCCAGAACCCATCTGCATGAGTGAATGTGTGACCCTCCAAGCACATTCTGTAACTAAAGCCTCAAGAAAAGAGAGCCTCCCCCTCTCTCCCAAGGCTCCTCTCCTAGAAAACCATTATCCATGTATTTTCTGACAAGTTACATTACTAAAGATTTAAGGATGAAAAGGTTGAGAATATACATATGGCAATTAAAGTCATCTAAACTTATGTTCAAGGTACAGTTTCAGAGGTAAGTCTTGAGTTCAGATGCCTCAGTTCCACAGACTTTATTCTAGACTCCCACCTAAAACAATACTACCAATCTAGTAGCAGCTAGGTGGTCCAGGAGAGAGAACATTGGTCCTGGAGTAAGGAAGACCTGAGTTCAAATTCACCCTCAACCACTTACTAGCCATGTGACCCTGGGCAGCTCATTTACCTATCTTTTGTCTACTTCAGTTTCTTCAACTGTAAAATTAGTATAATAATAACTCCTCCCCTCCCCCAAACCAAGGGTTGTTGGGCAGATAAAATGAGATAATATTTTTGTAGTGCTTATCATGTTGCCAGGCATATAGTGGGTACTTAATAAATGGGTGTTTCCTTCCTTTCTTCCTTCTAGCTGATTCCCTAACAATCATCCCACATTTTCAAGTGCACTAAAATTTTATTTCATGGAGTTTGAGAAGAATATAGCTACTCTTGCTCTAAATTTCTAATCTGGATCTCCAGATAAAATGTTCTTAATTCTTGGAGGTGCCAACATCACTAGGAATTAACTCCAGAGCCTGAGAATTCTGGGACCCAATGCTGACACAGTAGGATGCCTAGTGATGCTAAGATCCCATTCTTTCTTGTGTATGAACCATCATACATTCATAGCAACAATCATAGAACGATCATAGTTCAAAGTAAGGACATTTATTAACAGATGGAAAATTTTACTATAAACATAAAAAAGTAGAATAATAAGAAGTGTACACACACACACACACACACACACACACACACATATGTAAAATATAACCATTTGCCAGTGCTTCTCACAGCATGAAGCACTGTGGTTCACTTTTTGATTATTTTTTTCTTAAATTCAATTTCATTTTTTTTCAGGTTCAAATTCTGTCCTCCTCCCCTTCACTTCCCCCACATATAGGGAAGGCAAGAAAAACAAAACCCATTACAAATATGTATAGTCATACAAAACAAATTCCTGTGTTAGCCATGGCCAAAAATATACTGATGCTTTGCCCTGCACTTTGAGACCATCTGCTATCTATCTGGAAGTAAATAGAATGTTTCAATATGAGTCCTTCAGAATTTTGTTTGATTAGTGTGGTACCATATTTTTCAAAGTTTATTATCTTCACAATATTGCTGTTATTGTATAAATTCTTCTGGTTCTGTTCATTTCATTTTGCTCCAGCTCATGTCAATCTTCCAAGGTTTTTCTGAAACCTTTTCTTTCATTCTTTCTTGCAGCACTGTAGTATTCCATTATATTCATAAATCATAACATGTTCTACCATTCCCAAATTGACAAGCATCCTCTCAATTTCCAATTCTTTGCCCTTACAGAAAGAGTTGCTATAAATATATCTTTATATATGGATTCTTTTTTCTTTTCTTTTATCTCTTTGAAGTATAGTTCTAGTGGGAGCATTGCTGTCTCTCATGGTATGTGTAATTAATAAATTTTTAGTTCTAAATGGCTTTCTAGAATGGTTGGATTAATTCACAACTCCATGAACATTGGAGTATCTGCTTTCCCACAGACCTGCAGCATTTCTCAGTTTCCTTTTTTTGTTATCTTAGCCAATGTGATGGGTATGAGGTAGTATCACAGTTATTTTAATTTTAATTATTAACTAATTAGTGATTTAGAGCATATTAAAAATATGATTATCAATACTTACATTTCTTCCTGTGAAAACTATCTATTCATATCCTTTGATCATTTTTTAATTAAGAAATTGGATTTTTCTTGTATATTTGACTCAATTCCCCATATATCTTAGAAATGAGACCTTAATTAGAGCAACTAACTACAAAAATTCCCCCTCAACTTCCTACTTTTTTTAATGTAACTGTTTTAGTTTTGTTTGCGCAAAACTTTTAAATTTTACATAATCAATATTGTACATTTTACCTCCTGTGAATTTCTCTCTCCTGTTTGATCATAAACTCTTCCCCTATCCATAGAACTGACAGATAAATTCATTCATGTTCCACTAAGTTCCTTATGATAATACTCAATATGTCTAAATCATGTACTTATTTTGAGGTTATCTTGATATGGTTTGAGATATTGTTCTATACATAGATTTTACCACACTGCTTTTGAGTTTTTCCAACAGTTTTTGATAAATAGTGGTTTGTCGACCCAATAGAATGGATCATTGGATATATCAAACACTAGTTTACTCTGTCCCTTTGCTTTTGAATATTGTATGTCTAATCTGTTCCACTAATCAATGTCTTTATTTCTTACCAAATTCCATTTTTTTTTTTGAAAATTACACCTTTGTAATATAGTTTGAGATCTGGCACCTAGACTCCTTTCTTATTTTTAAAAAATTGATTGTCCTGATATTCTTGATATTTTGTTCTTCCACAGGAATTTTGTTACTCTTTTTTCTAGCTCTATAAAGTAAATTTTTGCTAGTTTTATTAGCAAAGCACTGAATAAGCACATTAAGTTAGGTAGCATCGTCATTTTGATTATTTTAACTTAGCCTACCCACGAGCAATTGATATTTTTCAAGTTGTTGAGATTTATCCTTATTTGTGTAAAACCGTTTTGTAATAGAATTCCTGTATCTCAGGAGGTTGACTCCCAAGTATTTCAAACTGTTTATAGTTATTTTAAATGCAATTTCTCTTCCATGCCTGCCTGCTGGATTTTATTGATAATATTCAGAAATACTGATGATTTGTGTGGTATTATTTTATATGTTGCCTTTTGGGCAAAATGTAATTTCCCTTCCTATGTCTTTTAATTTGGTCTAATTTTGCTTCTACTTTGTCTGAGATTGCGATTGTTATCTTTGTCTTTTTTTTTTAATTACTGTAGTGGAAGTGTAACAGTCTTGGAGTAAGTACCTTGTATACAGCCAAAAGACCTTCTCTCTCTCTCTCTCTCTCTCTCTCTCTCTCTCTCTCTCTCTCTCTCTCTCTCTCTCTCTCTCTCTCTCTCTCTCTCCCTCTCTCTCTCTCTCTCTCTCTCTCTCTCTCTCTCCCTCTCCCTCTCCCTCTCCCTCTCCCTCTCCCTCTCCGTCTCCCTCTCCCTCTCCCTCTCTCTCTCCCTCTCCCTCTCCCTCTCCCTCTCCCTCTCTCTCTGTCTCTCTCTCTCTCTCTCTCTCCGTTGTTTTATTTTACGTGGCTTGCCCAGGGTCACACAGCTAAGTAAGTATCAAGTATCTGAGACAAAATTTGAACTCAGGTCCTCCCGGCTCCAGGGCCAGTGCTTCATCCACTGTGCCACCAACTGCCCCAAGACCTTTTCTTTGACCATATGTACATGCTCCCAGGACTTCGTTGGCTAGACTTTTGTTCCATCAAAATGACGTGAACTGACACCTAGTGAAGAAAAAGTGGTACAAAGGAAACAGTTGTCACAATGACAACATAATTGTAAATAAAAACAACTTTGAAAGTCTTAAGAACTCTGATAAATGGATCAAGCACTTGTAACATTCTACTTGCCTCTTTTCAGAAACTTGAGAGACTCAGGATGAGAAATACACTATATATATTTTTTAGACATTGCCAGTGTGGATATGTATTCTGTTTAACTATGTATATTTGTTACAAGGGTTTTTTTTTCTTTTTTCAGGTGAAGTTCTGGGACAGTGAAGAGTATAAAGGCATAGAAAAGGAAGGAAGGACAGAAGAGAGATAGAGAAAGGAAGAATTAGAAAAAGGAGGGTCAGAGTACCAGTTTTTTAATGTACAGAAGAGTAAAAAGGAAGAACAGGAAGAAAAAAACAGCTTTGAAAAATAAATACTGAAATAATTATATATTTTAAAAGAAAATCAAGGTGTAAGTAATAGCAATTTGAAGTTTTATAATTTGTTTCTTTAAGTATGTAAATGAAAATGCCCATTTTATTTGTTGCATGTAGAGTCCAGAATTTTAAAAAATATAATAAAAAAAATCCTTGTGTAACAAAGACTCGTGTCCTTTAGAGAACTAAATTTTCACGAAGTGTTTTTCAGTCTTCCAGGTTAGAGAGGAAAAGTCTTTTTTTTTTTAAGTGAGGCAGTTGGGGTTAAGTGACTTGCCCAGAGTCGCACAGCTAGGAAGTATTATGTGTGTGAGTCCAGATTTGAACCCGGGTCCTCCTGACTCCAGGGCCAGTGCTCTAACCACAGCACCACCTAGCTGCCCATGGAAAAGTCTTTGAAATCAAAGCCTAATCAATCACTACTTTACTACGGAACAGTCCTTATTAACTCATCCTTGAGAAAAAGGGATATGAAAACAAGTTAACAATAATACTTTGCCATCCTAGACTCAAGACTTAGCTCTAGAAGGGCTCTTAGAGAGCATCTTGTTCCACACCCATCTTTTATGGATAAGAAAACTAAGGCCCAGAACAATGGAGTGTGTTACCTAAAATAACCAAGCAAGGTCACCACCACAATAACTGATGATGTCATGAGTACCCAAATCATAACCCCACCTACAGACCTTTAAAAGCAAATGGTGTTCTTCTGAAAGTAACTCTAGCCTAGAAATTATGATTCATTCTCCTCCTCTGTGGACTGTTCCTGCTCATCTATGAAGGACATGTTGAACTTCAGTAAGGTAAAGGTTTTAAAGCTAAAGCTTGTGAATTGAATGATGGAGAGCTCCAGAGCTCCACTTTCTTCAATCTGCTTTCTTCTTAGACAGAATAGTGAGTGGGAAAGGAGCTGAATTCCTGACCTGATCTTACCATGAGTACCAAGCTCTTCTGGTCTGTCATCATTTATTTCCTGGGAACAGGTGAGAGAGGGAGATTTCATCTTAGGCTTGTCAAGTTCTGACTCCAATTTTTCCTTGGGAACTTCAATATCAGTGCCCTCTGTAGACTTCTTTCTGATTCTACCATAGGTCCCATGGATGCGAAGGATGCAAGAATTACCCAGAGCCCAAGACACATAGTCACAAGAATGGGACAGGAAGTGACACTAAAATGTGAACAGAATTTGGGCCATAATGCCATGTATTGGTATAGACAAGATCTGGGCCAAGGACTTCAACTCATTTATTACTCTCCATTAAAAGATGATATTCAGAAAGGAGACATTCCTGAGGGATACAACGTCACTCGGGAAAAGATGGAGCTTTTTCATCTTATTCTGCAGTCATCCAGAATCAACCAAACATCTTTGTATCTCTGTGCTAGCAGTAAAGACACAGTAAGGCAAAGCCAGTTCCTCTCCATACATAAACCGTCTTCACCTTGTACAATCCTGAAGTGTTGATTTTTTCTGCTTTCATCATACTTCTCTAACACAGGAAGTTATTTTTGCTAGAAACACATACTGTGGGGGGAAATGCTAATTATGGAAGTCTTATGTCCCTATCCTTCACAAAGGTCCTAATTTATGCTTCAACATAGGGAAGGGTTTGTAAATACCCAGTAACAACTGGCGATTGACATGGAAGTCATTTCTTACCTAGATATCTGAGTGTAATTAGACCATGAACTTATTACAACAGAGATCAAAATGAACATCAAATCATGAGACTGAATAAAGATGAGAAGAATATACTGAATATGTATGTAATATTAAAAGCTTCATTCTGGCCTGTCTAAATAAGCTCTTGATTCTGAAACATTAGTAATAGAATAAGGGATTGATATTGACTGTGATTATTAAAATTTCCTAGAGAATTATAAATGTCATAAGGCAGCTGGCACAGTGAGAATGCCACAAGAGTACTGAAATCACTTAATCAGTCAATGAGGATTTTTTATGTACCTATATGTGCCAAACGCAGTGGTTATGATCTGTACCACTGGAGTCAGTACCAATATTGATGAGATCATTCGACTGTTAAAATATCAAAGTATGTATAAGTACTGTAGACCAGTATTTCTTAAAGTGTGGCCCCTGGATCTTTGGGGGCACTTAAAACATTTTTAGGGTACCCTTGAGATCAAAATTATTGTCACAATAACACAAAGACGCTATTCATCCATTAAAAAGCTCCTCTGTTTTTCAACTACATATCTGTATGAAGCTGGATTTTCTTCATATACTTCAACTGAAACAACACATCACAATAGACTGACTGCAGAAGCAGATATGAGAGTATAGCCATCTTCCACTAAGCAGGATATTGGAAACATATGCAAAAAAAGAAAATCATTACCTTTTTTCCCACTAGTTGTTTTGTTTTGGAAAACATTGTTATTTTGCATAAAATTGTATATTTTATGTTACTATGTAATGGCCTTATTATTTTGAATGAATTAATAAGTAGATATTTCCAAATAGCTGAAATTTCTAATATGGTACATATTCATAGATATAACTCACATAAACAAAAGCTCTTTAGGGTATTCAATATTTTTTTAAAAGCATAAAAATTTTCAAAAGTGTAAAGGGCTCCTGAGGCCAAAAAAGAAGTTGAGAATTGTTGCTATAGATACAACAATGACCTAGGCACAAGACTGAAAAATTGATAATAGGATGGGTTTCATTTAATGCAGAAATATCAATGATTGCTAACTCCTCTTATCACACAAATACACACACACTTTCTTTTTAACACAAACATTCTTCAGATGATACAATATGGCTAGGCATAATGAAACACCATATTCTTTGAAGAAGTAAAATTCCAGAAGACCCAGAGAGCAATGGAAAAACCTTGATGTGCATAAGTAGGCTTTAGCATATGAACACTGAAGATTTGCAAGTAAGAAGTACCATAAAATACATCATCATGAACACATTATCAGAAAAAGGGGGCCCCGGCAGCTAGGCTGTCCAGTGGAAAGAACACCGGCCCTGGAGTCAGGAAGTCCTGAGTTCAAATCTATCCCCTGACATTTGCTAGCTATGTGAACCTGGAAAAGTCATTTAACTCTGATTTCCTGCTACTTCCTGTTCCCCCAAAAAAGGAGGTAGACTGGCCATGTTTAAGAGTTGAGATAACAGACATCATGTGAAGTACTCTACTGGTACACCTAAAACACTAAAATTTCTAATGAGTTGTTCCATAGAGATTCTACATAGTATTTATTAGAGGTCATGGGAAAAAATTACATGTGGTCAGAAGTTATGAATATGTTACAATCTGCACCAGTGGTGGGGTGGGATGGGGAAAATGAATCCACATAAAGGAGAGCATAGATACATCCAAGTGTCAAAGTAAGACTTATTATGCTAACAATGATAGCACTGCTTAGTGAAAAGGCAGGAGTGAAGAGGGTTAGGAAATCTTCCTTTAATTCAACCATAACTAGTCAGGTAATTAGTCCATACTTTAGTCAAAAGCATTTATTAAGCACATACCTCATTCCAGGTACTGTGTTAAGTACTAGGGATATAAATACAAACAAAAAGAAAGAGAGTTCCTTCTCTTAAGGAGTTTACATTTTAATGGCAGAAGACCCCACGGAAAAAGGAGCTAAAGTAGGGTGGGAGAGGTAAGAGTGGGGTGTTTGGGGGGGCAGGGAGGAGGGGAAACTATCCATGGAGGTGAAATCTAGGGAGTCAAAAGCAGAATTGGAAAGGAATGAAGGCAAGCCAGCCCAGGTACTTCCTTAAAATGGCACCCCAAGAAGAACTCACTAATGGGAGAAGCAGCTTGTAGTTACTAAGAGGTGGAAAAATCCAGAATAAATTTAGAACAGAGAGATTCTTAAGCTTTGGGGTCTCAGAATCCTTTTATACTCTTAAAAATTAATGAGAATATATTTTATGCATGTAGGTAAATATCAACATGTACCATCGAAATTAAAATGTCTTAGAATTATTATAAAACAGCTTTCTTCTTAGGCTCCTTAAAACGACCCAGGACCCCAGATCACACACTGACAGACATTATCTTACATTATCTTGTTAAGTCATCTTATGTGTCTGAGCCTAGTTTCCTCCACTGCCAAAAAGGAGATTTGGACTGAAATATCTTCAAATCCTCTTCCAACTCCAAAATAATACAATTTTTAATTGTCTTCAGAGGGCTGGCTGTCAAAGAGATTAAGGGAGATGATGATGAAAAATTGCCTTGATACATTATAAAGGGAAAAATTAATTAATGCATGATTACCTATCTTCAAACTACAGATACTATCATTTCACATTGTCTGGATAAAACATAACCTCACTATTCATGTTTGGTTCATTTCTCGCCACTCTATTCCCTTTCCCAAACCCTCTCTCACTGCTCTTTCTCATTCTCACACTCAGTCTCGTCATGTCCTGCTCTCTACACAAGGGGTCAGTAGTACATTTTGAATCACTTGTTTTTTGACCCCCCTTCATGACATGTCCTTAAATTCTATAGAGCTATTTTTTAAAGCGTGTGAATTATTCAGGATACATTATACTCTGCTCTATGCAATCTGCAGTCCAATCAAACCAGGCTTCTTGGTTTTCCTTATACATAACACTCCATCTCCCAACTTAGTGATTTTACACTAGCTATCTGGAATATTCTTCCTAATCGCTTCTATTATCTTGCAGTTACAAGATTCATCTTAAAGATTTCTTCAAGATTCATCTCAAATGCCACTTATTGCATAGTTTCCTAGCAGGTCTCCTCCAAGACTATTACCTTTATGTCTCTGCTCTGTGCACCACCAGCCTTTCCTTGTTGTCATTGCCGGTCATTGCTTTTCATGTGTGTCTGACCCTTTGTGACCTCATTTGCAGTTTTCTTAGCAGAAGTTCTGGAGTGGTTGCCATTTCCTTCTCTAGTTCATTTTACATATGAAGAAATTGAGGCAAATAGGTTTAAGTGACTTGCCCAGGGTCATATAGCTAATAAGTGTCTAAGGCCGGATTTGAACTCAGGAAGATGAGTCTTCCTGACTTACTGACTCCCTGGCATTCTATGTGCTGTACCACCTAGCTGCCCCAATGGGTTATGCATGTTTTATAAATACTTATATATGTGACTGTTATCACTACTTGCCATCCCCACTCCCAATTATGATACAATGAATGCTATGGAAGCATTTCACTTTTGTCTATTTCCCTTGCCTAATGCTTACCAAGGATGGGGAATCTGTGGCCTTTGAGGTCCTTGGGTGCAGCCTTTTGATTGAATCAAAATTTTTACAGAAGTTTTACAGAAGAAATCCTTTTATTAAGGGGATTTGTTCTGTGTTGTTTGAATTGAGTCAAAGGGCCACACTTGAGGACCTAAAAGGCCACATATGGCCTTGAAGCCACAGATTTCCCCAATCCTGGCTTATTCCATAATATTAAACTAATAAATGTTTGTTGATCAGTTGTGTAAAGGAAGCTCTCTACTTCCTCCAAGTGACTTGATGCAGTCACAGAATGCAGTCATACATCATGAGGTTTAAATATCTTAGCAAGGTCTAATGTCCTGTGATCCCTTTATTAGATGTGAAAACCTATCTGATTGAGTGAAGAAGTGATTGGCTGAGAAAACAAATTAACCAGCCTCCCTTAAATAAATTTAAAAAGTTGAGCTCTAAGAAGCTCAAGGTAGTCAATGTTCATAGAAGATGTGGAGTGAGACTAGTAGGGAGAGAGAGAAGGGGAGGGGAGTGTCTCCCTTCCTTCTCTCTACCAATCATGAGGAAGGAATGAAAAAGCTAGGTTTTTTTTAAAGGTATCTTTGGAGAAAAAGGAATCCAACAGGGAAGGTCAGTGTTCTCCAACTCGATGACGGGATCATAACTGACAAGAGAGAAGTCCAGATGCTTATTTCTTATTTTATTGCCATTTGCTTTGCCAAGGAAAATGAACTTCATATTGGGAAGGAAAGAAGTTGGTACCCAAGATGAGAAAGGAAATAGTAAGAGAGAACCAAGCTGCCCTTGAAAGATTCAGGTCACCAGGCCTAGATGAATTATGTATTTGGGTTCTATGTGTGTGATTCCTGTGTTTCCTTCCTGTGTTTCCTTCCTGTGTTCTGTGTTCTGTGATTGCTGGGCCACTATCAGTGATATTTGAAAGATCATGCTAAAAAGGAGAGGTACCATAAGATCTGGAGGCAGGTAGGTGGCTGGCTCAGTGGATAGAGCTCTGGGCCTGGAGTCAGGAAGACCTGAGTCCAAATCTGGCCTTAGACACTAACTGTGTGAGCCAGGGAAACGCACTTAACCTCTATTTGCCTTGATCCACTGAAGAAGGAAGGGGCAAACCACTCCAGTATCTGTGCCAAGAAAACTTCATGGACAGTATAGACAAAGAGTCAGTCAGAAACAACTGAACAAAAGCAACAAATTATTAGTAGCTATGATGTGACATATAAATGCATGCAATAACTTATATATCTACCTATGTATGTATTTACATATCATGTATATATGTATGTGAAGATACATACATAAATGAATGTATACATATGCACACACATCAGAAGTACAGTACAAGGCAACTGGGGCCAAGGAGAAACACTAGCAGGTGGGGGGGATTAAGAAAGGTGGCATTTGACCCTAGTTTTGAAGGAAATTAGGGATTCAAAGAGGCAGAAGGGAGGACACACTACATTCCAAGTGTGGGAGACAGTCTGTGCCATGACACTGTCTAGTGTAACCCTCCTCCCATTTTGAAAATTAGGCAAAGAAAGTGCAGAAAGTAAATAGTAAAACCTGTCTCAACTCAGAAGTGTAATAAAATAACTCTCGCCTCCTCCATACACAGAAACACAATTTCTTCAATGATCCTAAATTTGAATACCACCAGGATTCCTGCTAGCTCCTAAATCATAACCACACCTACAGACCTAACAGCAATGCTGCTATTCTGATTTCTTCCCCCTTTCTAGGAGATACTCCAGCTCCCCTTGGGAAGACTTGTTCAGCTACAAGGTTTTAGAAGGTGTGTTAATTCTGAATCCTCTGTGGTAAGCTAGGGGCGCCCCAGAGCTCAGCCAGTTTTCTACCCCCTCTCCAGGAGCCAGAGCTCTGTTCTAGGAAGCTGCTCCCTTGTTGCCTTGATTCTACCATGGACACCAGGCTTCTCTGGGGTGTGGTCATTTGTTTCCTGGGATCAGGTAAGTCCTAGACGCTGATGGGAAATACTTCCTCAGACTTTTTTGATTCTGATTGAAATCCTATCCCTGAGAGATTCAGTGTCAATCTCTGTCTGTGGATTATTTCTGCTTCCCCCATAGGTTCCATGGATACCAAAGATGCCAGAATCATCCAAACTCCAAGAAATCTAATCACAGGAATAGGACAGAATGTGACACTGAATTGTGAACAGAATTTGGGACATGAAAGCATGTACTGGTACCGCCAGGACCAGGGCCAGGGGCTTCAGCTCATTTATTTCTCAAGAACAAAAGATAGCACTGAGAAAGGAGACATTTCTGAGGGATATGATGTCTCTCGGATAAAGGAGACCTTTGCTCTCATCATACAGTCATCCAGAACCAAACAAACATCTTTTTATTTCTGTGCCAGCAGCAGACACAGTAAGGCAAAGTTAGCTCTTCTCCATGCAGAAACCTCCTTCATCTCTTACTGCAACTCTGAGGTGCTGAATTTTCCTGGCACTTGTTACCCTTCCACCAACACAGGAAACTCTTACTAGTTTGAGAAAGCTATGAGCTAAACCACTGTTCTAGTATTTATCATGTTCTGGCATGAATTGCAGATATTTTGAATATGCCATAAATCCCTTAATGGGCCATGAAATCTTATAAAGTAACTTTGTATGTATGGGATAAGGGTGCTACTCATACCTCCTTGCATCAAGATGATGATGATGTCTGATGATGTTACTAGACTGCTATCAAATGATCAGCCCTTCACCAAGCATGGCATCTCTTCTGGGAAAATTGCTCCACTGGGCTTGCAGAGCCTGTCACTTGTGGGGCCATGTTTCTACTAGGCTTGGTACTCATTGAGCATGGTGGCAGCTCTACTTGCTCCTCAAAGGGCATCATATGGTTCTGCTGTGCTTGTGGTTCCTGCCTTACTAGGCCTTCAGTCTACTTGGGCACAGAGGTTGGAACCTGCCCTAATATAAGTAAGCTATAGTTCTTTAGTTCTACTCATTATATCCATCTAACAAAAGCAAAGTTAGTGCCTCCACATTAAGACTGTGTCTGTCCCTTTAGACTTCTAGGTCTAGGCTGGAAGTGAAGTCTGTTTAGTGTGAGCATTCTAGTATAATCCCCAAATCTTCTTTGGCTTAATTACAAATGTATTTGGGCCAAGACAAAAGGGAACCTAGGGAGGTAAGGTCAGTATTCTCCACCCATCTAGCCTACATCCCTTTCTTTATCATGCATATGTGTTGACAACAAAAACAGTTGACTTGGTGTTACATTTTGGGCAGTGATAGCCTATATCTATATCTGGGGACACATTATCCTCTGCTCAGAAGATAGCTGCCATTACATTTCTGGATATCTCTAATTGTAAGGAAGCTTTGCCTTATATCAAACTAATACGTGATGTTATACACCACATCCTGTTCACATCTTAGTGTTTCTGCTTGACCCATCCCTGTGATCAGGTATCTGGGAATCAAGGATGATTCTGGCTCCCTTGATAATCATAGGAACCATGAATGGGAAGCAGAGGGAAGCCTAGGTGGAAGGTTGGCATTGAAACTAGTAGGGAAAAGTTTGGAGCTAGAATCTGGCAAGCCGTTCTCAGAATTTACTGATGTCCAAGAAACAAATGACCACACATCACAGAAGCCTAGTGCCCATCTGGGATTTTCTTTAGTTACTCTCCAATGAGCCTGTACCCCAGATCTGTTGGTGAGAGCAGCTCCTTGTGTCATTCTCTTTTTGACACCAATCCTTGTAGTCTTCTCAACTAGTCTTCATAGACATGGCTGTGACTAGAAAGTTTTGTGCATATTGGAATATGGGTGGGGAGTGGGAAGGGAACTCTCCGGGAGTTTAGCTATTAGGTGTGTGTATGGAGAGGGATATGTAGGCTGTCAATAACTACAAGGTTTGTACATTGCTGAAGTTCTAGGTTCTGCTGAAGAAGAGTTAAGTACTAGAGTTTGGGAATTTAACCACCTTGGGGGAGGAAGAACAATTCAGAAACCATAAGGTTTCTGTGCTACTAAAAAGCTGGGGGCACACAATTCATAATACTTAACACAAATATATATATATACACACACATATATACACACATCTATACTTTTTTGTTGTCTTTCAGTCATTTCATTTGTATCCAACTTTTCACAACTACATTTGAAGACTTCTTGGCAAAGAATGGTTTGCCATTTTCTTTTCCAGCTCATTTTACAGATGAAGAACTGAGGTAAATAGGGTTAAGTGACTTCCCGAGGGTCACACAGTCTGAGGCCTGGTTTGAACTTAAGAAGATGTGTCTTCCCTACTCCACACCTGGCATTCTATCCATTGCACCACCTAGCTAACACATATATACTTATGTGTATGTTTATGTGTACATATATGTATATGTATATATTCATACGTACTTGTGATTTCACTGAAGAGTCACCCAATCAGTATATGTTAGCAGTGGGACTGGAACCTAGCTCTTTCTGGCTCAAAGGCCAGATTTCCATGCATACATCATGTTTATATATGTAATATATATGTGCATATGTGTATGTATGCGTTCATGTTTATGTATGTATTATATATTTATGTACATATATGAATATGCAGAGAAGCAGGTAAATGAAAATACAACTAAACAAAAATTGACACTTTATTTCATATACAAAATCAACCTAAAGGAGATAATTAAATAATTTATATTTTATATATTAAATAATGTATGCATTATATAATTATTCAAATATCATAAAATATGAAGAAAGTCTGTTGAAACATGACATAATTCTCATAAATGATCTTTACATATTTCTTATATTTCTTTATTGCCAAATGCTTTTGTGAAGGAAGAAATGAGAACGTTGTGGTACAAGCCTCAGATGTAAAGCTTCCCTATGTAATAAACCTGTTCCTGGGGGCTTCCTGCATCTTCGGAAGCATTTGTGACTACCTAGTATGAAACACCTGTAATCTTTTCCTAAGGGCTCCTGTGAGATGAATGAACTTCTCTTGTGCAGGTCTTTCAAGGTGAAGGTTAGCAACAGAGAAATGGAGGAATAGATGATACTGCAGGGTGGGTTCCTTTTCACACCCTAGCTTTCCTCAAATCCAGCAGATATTTTCCAGTTATAACTAGAAGAAAGGAAAGCAGACATCTTCAGAGAAACAAATGAGACCCTACCCAGCCACACAAACAGGACAAGTGCAGAAGTAATAAAAACAGGGATCTAGGTTTCTGATAGTTGGGGAGCAATGAGAAGGAATTATAGCAACTAGCTGAAAATTTCAGTATCCAGCTATGTTTAATTCAACTTGACCCCTTCAAAGCTCCTCCTGGGATCAGGAGGTTCACTTAATTGCTTGAAATTTCATTTTAGTTTATCCTGATGTGAGAGCCAATTCAAATATAATTCTACTATAGTAGGAAGAGGGAGAACTAAAATGGATGTTGCTTTTGAAACACTAGAATGTGTGGAGTTTTTACTACTCTTTTATCTAATTTAACTAACTTTCTTGTTCAGATAATGAAGAAAGGTTAATTGCCGAATACTTGAAGAAGAAGAGAATGGCCAGTGGGTGGAGGTTTCTTCATCTGTGTAATGAAGGGTTTGAACTAGATAGATGGAAGTCTACCCCTCCCACAATCTATAAAATTTTAATCTTAGATAAGAGGGGAATCAAAATAGGGGGTAAGGAGGAGGAAAAGCCAGGCAAGAGGAAGATAAAGATAAATAGGAAAGGGGTAAGGATGAAACAAAGGACTGGTAAAGCCACTGCCGAGAAAGTGTTGGAGTAGTTGAAAAGTGGGTGCAATGATAGTTGGAAAAGATTTAAGGCAGAGGATGTTGACGTCAGTGAAAGATACAACCTAGTATAACTGGAAGAGTCCCACAGATCTTTAGCTTGACAAAAATTCTTCTTACTCTATATAACAGCAACCTGTTCTTGCCCTAATCCCACCATGGGCAGTTACCAGGCTCTGTACTGTATGGCCATTTGTCCTCTTAGAAACAGGTGAATCCTGGGTACAGATTGGAAATGTCTCTCCTGTACTTAACAGACCCTTGTTTCAAATCTTGCACTTGTGGTTGCAATTCAAAATCCCTTCCTGACTTAAGATGAACATGGCTATTCTGTTTTCTGTCTTATTTACCAATAGCATATATGGAAGACAAAGTTATCCAGACCCCAAGACACTTGATCACAGCAAGAGGACAGAATGTGCTGCTAAGCTGTGACCCCATCAAGCCACATGTTTATATTTTTTGGTATCGACAGCTCTTGGAAGAATTGAAGTTCATGGGTTACCTTCAGAATGAAAAAGTATTAGATGAATCAGGTGTGCCAAAAACTCGATTCTCAGTTGATTGGCCCCGAAACTCATCCTCTAATCTGAACATCCAATTCACAGAGCCTCAAGATTCAGCTGTTTATCTGTGTTCCAGCAGCTTAGGCACAGCATTGTGAAGTCCTCTCCTTTCTTTGCATAAACCCCTTCTGGATACCACAGAGGAAATAACAGTTAGAGACAAAGGGAAAGACAGTTACCAGGCTTTGATGAATTTAGACAGAGAAATTTGGGAGGATTTGTGGTGAAACTGAAAAAGAAGTCAAAAGAGGAGAAGAAAAAAGAGAATGAAGGGAAGAAATGGAAATACAAGAATGAGGAGCTATAAAAGAAACAATGAAGTACAGTGGAAAACATGTTGAATTTGGAGTCGGAGGACCTGAGTTCAAATCCCAACCTTGCCATTTACTACCTATTAATATGAACTTTCACAAATCAATCAACTTTTATGTGCAAAGTGTTCTATGGTAACTGTACCTCTTTAAACACCAGTTTCTAAGTGGCACAATGGTTAGAGTGCCAGGTCTGGAAGTCAGGAGGACCTAAGTTGAAATCCAGCCTCAGACACTTAGTAGTTGTGTGACCCAGGACAAGTCACTTAACCCTATTTGCCTCAGTTTCCTCATGTGTAAAATGAACCAAAAAAAGAAAATGGCTAAGTTACTCCAGTATCCTTACCAAGAAAACCCCAAATGGGGTCACAAAGAGTCAGACATAACTGAATGACTAAACAACAATTCTAACCTGTTAAAAAAAAAGGTGATAGAACTAGGTGACCTGTAAGGTCCCTTCTAACTCTAATTCCATGATCCTGTAAGAAATATAAAGGTTTGATGTGAAAGAAGAAAAGGATTGGACCTCGAGTTCTTAGTGTGAGAAGGTCTCAAGGTATAAGTGGAGAGCTAAAACAGAAAGGCTTGAGAAATAGTAGAAGTAGAAGGTGAGGGATTCATACTGAAGCAGTAGAACAATCAGAACTTTCAGAGAAGGAGGACCCAAGGAGAAAGCAGTTGGGAAAATATACTAACACAGGGCAAGCTGGTAAGTCAAAGGACTACCCTCATAAAGGAAGGTACCATTCATTGGGCGTGACTTCCAAAGAGCTAATGGGGTGAGAAGAGTAAAGACCCCTGAGTTAAAGAGGCCTTCAAGTAGTATGTTAAAACTCTTTCACTGGAGCGAGTAGCAAGAAAAACAGGGATAAGGGTCTTGCTTCAAGCAAATATGGGGAGTGGAGAGAATTGTGAAGTGACTTGAAGACAGCAAAATGGTTGTAATTCTGTCATGAGAAAGTGTCATGTGTTGAAATGTGTTCAAAATGTGTTCAAAATTCACATTGGTTTCTTTCCTAGGAGAAAAGGTTAAACAAATGAAGAAACAAAAACCAGAAGGGTTTGTATTTGAAACAAAGAAGAAAATACATCTGATGAAAATGCATCCTGACCTAGAAAGCTGGAGGTGAGGAGACTCACACAGGAGACATGGAAGAAGAAAATACAATGAACACATGAGGCTAAGGAAAAAAAAAATGAGCCTCTATCTGAAGAGGAAGAAGATGGATGCTCTGCAGAGAAAACACCTGCTAATCCTCCAAGGAATAATGGTGTGGATCCATAAGTCCTCTCAAGAGAGATAGCATCCTATAAGGAACAGAGTGGACTTGTGCATTCCTGGTGAATCTATTCTAGATACGAGAGAGAAAATTTCAAGATGTGGGAAATTTTAAGACTACTACACATTTTTAGTGACTTGTGTGCACAAATGATATTATATGAAGGAACTTAGAAAATAATCTAAAAGTATGAAATCTGTATTAAGAAACTGAATATTGAATGACAAATGTGGCATTTTTGTTGTGGGACCATATAGGATCATTGGATCATAAATTTAGAGCTGGAATAGACCAAAGAGGTCATCTGGAACATCATTCTCATTTTATAGAGAAGAAACATTTCTGTATATTTAAAATGAAATCCAATTAAGAGAATGGAAACTATGTCAAATTAAGAGCTGGTTAAGAAGATGATGTCTTAGAAAAGAAGGTAGTATTTGATTGGTATTTCTGAACTTCACCTTAAAATACAGGAATAACAAATTGCTGATCAGGGATGGACCTTAGAAAGGTCAAACCTGTCAGTGAATTAGGGGGACATCTTTAAACATATGAATATTGGCAGAATGGGTGGATGAGAACAATTTGTTCCAATGGCCACAAAGGCACTGTGTAGTGCTTACAGCATAGTCAGAAATCAAAATTGCCAAGGTCATCCACCACATCCTGAGCCCATCACCAATTCTCCTGACTTTTGTCTTGGCACTGGACTTCGATGAGTCTGGGAGAAAAAGTGAGGCTGTTGAGTTTGTACAACTCTCCTTCACTTAAATCCAATTCATGGACAAGCCAAGACATTGGAGAGGTAATTGGTCCTCTCAAAAAATGAAGGATGAACAATAACCCTTTCTGAAATAAAAATATATCTTCTTAAATAGTGTGAATAATGTGCTTGAAAATTATATTTCTTTCACTATGCTAGGTAGAACCAGCAGAGAACTTTCCAGGTATTCCGGGGAGTAATGGGGAGAAGTGTATGAGCCAAGAGAAGTGAGGAAAAATACTCTGTTAATCATGGCTCTGCTGATTACAATAGTGAGGAAACTGGAGGCATGCACAGTTAGTAAGTTAGTCAAAAAGCATAATCAGGCTGTTATTCTTGTGTCAGGCACTGTGCTATGTACTCAGAACATAAAGAATACAAAATGACAATAAATAAGGAGAATGGACCTTTGACCCAGAGTGCCAATACTGGGCAAGGACAGGTTGTTGCCATATCATTGTATTAACTCATATTGAGTTAACAATTCACTAAACATCACCTTTCATTGAACTTTTGTTTTGGCAAGATTCCCTCATCCCATAGTCAGACTTTTCATTTAAAAAAAAATTGACTATACGATTCATTCCTTTTCTATAGAGTAGGGATTCCTTGTGGATTATTAGTTGGTACATATGGCCCCCATGGTCCCTTCCAACTCTCAGATTCTGTGGTCCTGTGATTCTTGGTCTCCCAAGAGTCCTTGCTAAAATGTAAATGTATGTTATGTGAATGGTAGCATACCACACAATTCAACAACAATTCAGTCCAACAAACATTAAATACCCAGTATATGACAGACTCCAAAAGAGGCACAATATTTAGATAAATTACCTGTCCTAATCAACATGATATGAATGCAAATAACCGTAATAAACAATCATACCTGAGAAGTATAATAACGAGTTGTGCCGTGGCTTAACACAAGTGCCAGGTACATAGCCAGTGCTTAACAAATACTTGCTGGTTGAAGTGAGGGTAGGCCACTACTGACTTAAGAGATAAAGGAATCTGGGATCACAGATACAAAGTTGAAAAGGACCTTAGAGGTCATGTGGTCCAAACCCATAATTTTAAAAATGAAGGACTAAAGATTAAATGCTTTGCCCAATATCACACAAGTAGCAACTGGCAGATTCTAGCAATTTTATAGAATACATTTCCAAAAAAAAAAAAGAAGAAGAAGACATGAGTGAGGATATCATCATTCTAGCAGAGGAAATAGTATGGACAAAAGCACAGAGGCTGGAAAATACTGGCCCCTGACCAGGAGAGCAATTTGTGTAAAACAAAGAAGTGGAAAATGATATCGTATAAAGCTGGAATGGTAGACATATGGATGGCGTTTTGTATCAGGATTCAGAATTTAAATTTTCATCATTAAACAACAGGAAATTTTTAAATGGTTTTGAGTAGAGGTGTATGATCAATATAACAGAATTTTGGCAGAAATTAAATGTGGATTAATTTATCAGAGGAGTAGTAGAAAGCTTCTAAGAAATGTTAACTGAGAACAATATGGAAAGTGTCTAGAGCTTAGGGTTTTGCCATGGAATGAAGGCCTGGATGGGACACCATAGTGAATACCTATTGAGCATCAGGGAGTAGCATAAGGTCCAAGAGGACCTAAGAAGAGGGTGGGTTGGGATAAGTGGAAGAGTGTGAGAGGTGAAGGTTCCTAGCACAGTGCCTTGGACCTGGTTCAACAAATATTTGTTTAATTCAATTGAACTGAAAAACAAAACCCAAAAAAGCAAAAAAAACAAAACAAAAAGCAAAAAAAAAAACTACTTCATAATTTTCTTAGCACTGGCCAAACGTTTATGATAAGCTTTTGAGAGAACAGTGTTCTTTAGGCAGCTAGGTGGTATAGTGGATAGAGTACCAGCCCTGAATCAGGTGGACTTGAGTTCAAATCAGGCCTGAGACACATAACAGTTACTTATCTGTGTGACTCTGGGCAAGTCACTTAACTCCAATTGCTTCACCAAAAACAAAACAAACAAACAAACAAGCAAACAGTGTTTATGCCTGTCCATAGTCTGTAGAGAAGTTTGGAATCTAAAGAACATGGAGTCTTCTGTTTCTGTTTCATGGAGCCTTCCTATTTCTAGCCTTAAGGAAGAGAGCTTGGGAGTTGATGAGACGTACATTTGAACTTCACTCTGCTATTTCTAAATCTTCTAATCACTAAACCCTTCTTCTTGCCCCCAGGAAAGTCTGTGTCCCATTCCTACTGGACCCTACTTCCTCTAAATAGCTATTTTTGAAAGTATCAGACAACCTAAGTTGACCTAAGATTTTAATGCCTAGTATTAGAATCCAACTCAAAGTTTCTTTGTTTTAATTGTCCAGTTTAGAAGATGCTGTTGTCCATCCTCCATTCTTGCAGAGGACCAAAAACATCAGGAGGCTAACATCTTAACTTGCAAGTGAGTTGGATTTAAGTGAGGCAGAGCTGGACTACTTAGAAGAAGAATGAAAAGAAACGTAAGCAAAAAGAAAACACTTCTGTTGTCTGTAAGTAGCTGTGTTATCTGACATTTAAGTAACTTGTGCACATATTCTGCTCTTGCTGCCTATGGTAAAGTAGTCATTACCACACTCCTAAAGACAGACCTGAGAATATTCTGCTGTGGTGACAAATCAGTACAAGAAGGACT